GCCGGATGTTTTCGCTTAGCATCTCCCTTGCGTCCTCTGGAAGTACTTTGACCAGATTTCTTATGTACCCTAAATGCGTATTTATGTTCTTGGATTGAACATTCTTTAAAAGAACGCTGCAGACTGAACCTTATCTATCAGAAAACACTTCCTTTAAAACACGCCGGAATTTTATGCGCATACCGCTGATAATTTTCCTGTTTGTAGGTGAAATTACCGCTAACGCAGGTGAGATCCGATCCACCTCCACAAGGGTCCAGCGCATGTAGCGAAACCCTGTCGTGTGCTAGAGAAACGTAGATAAACTGCTTAGTTTTGTCAGCCATATCGATCGAGCCAACTTTCGGTCGTATTGGCACTGTCTTGCCATCGGGCTAAAGTGGGTGACAGAAGGGAGAGTACGATGGATGCTCCGCTAGTCTGTCTCTTCACACGTAAGCCACCTGTACTTCATCCACACCGTGGGGCATGCAGTTTACGTCTTCGCTCACGACGATTGAACTTTCCTTTTCATGCGACAGTTGTATGCGGATGCGCCTCGTAGCGACCGAAACTCTCGTTTTTGTGGCCTGACTTTAATGCGATTTTCGAATACTTTCTTTGCAACGGTTGAATTTTGTGAAAAAAAGTGGCCGTTTCCATCCGGAATTAAAAATTGAACTTCTGCGCCTGAATAATCATCTATAAACAATAGAAATCGCAAAAGTTGTCGTATTAGTCGCATGAAGGAGGCGGCCGCCATCTCTTAATAAAAATGGGCTTTGTGCTGGCAGTATTTGTTAAAGTCGCACGAAATGGCGCCTGCTTGGCTTTCGAGGACATGCACACGACTTCCTTAGGTATCGGATTAAAAGGACGTTTTTCTTAGCATCGTCCGTTTAAAAAAAATAATTATAACAGCCACTGGCGAAAAGGTCACCTACAGTATGCGACGAACCTTTATGCCTCTGCCTTTAAGTTGAGTGAAATACTTACGTGGGCAACGTGTAATAGCAAGTCCAATTCGCAACAATCACGCATCTCCCCATGTTCAGGGTTTTTGTAAAGGGCTTAAGTCGTAGAGGACTCTTCTGACCTTCGGAAAATAGCGCCGAGGGTGAATGAGATTACCAGGCAGACCGTTTTATCCGTCAAAACCGCATAGAGTAGCATTTTCCAGCTGCATTGCTGACCAAAGTAAGACACCTTGCAGGAATAATGATTGTCAGTTGAAGCAGTTGACAGCCTCAAGTATCTAAGGGTGAAGTTGCTGCCAAGTGCATAAAATAAAGAAGAGGACCTTCAGACTTCTCGCAAGTCCTAGAACGTATACACGGACTTGCTTCCTATTTCTTACGCCAAGAAGATACGTACGTACAAGGAATCTGTCCATTAGATCGTTTTGCACGGTTGTGATTGTGAAAACTGCGTCCATTGTACGTAGCTCACGCGAACTGTTTGACTCTGTCTTGCCACCGGAGGGCGAGGGAGGAAGAGTACGGTAGACGTAGGGCAAGTCTACTATCCAATTTTGACTACCCTTCGTCACGCCTGTCGGTCCTGTTCCTGCGTTACCCAGGTCTCTTGACGCACATGAGAGACCTTTGTATTTTCTCGGTGGTGGCGCCGTCATTCCACCCGACTGACCATTAAATTGTTTTTCTCTTTTTTAACGTACTCACGTAGTCTTCTGTTCTCCCTTTGTTCTAGGTGGTTGTCACTTCGTGCATCTTCACAGCGCTCAAGTTCGCCTTCCTCTTCTTCTGCATCATTGAACTGACAGTGTGTGTGAAATGGGACGAACTGATGAACAGCACTGCCGTCATCAACGACTGGAACGATGTGGTCTCGCCGCCGGGTGTCTGTTGGGCCAACTTGCCACCCCTAGCAGCCATCTGTCTCACCGCTGCCGTTGTTGTCTTCGCCGTCCACCTCGTCCGCTCCAGCCTCTTCCTCTCCCAGGTCTGGGGGGTGCGCCGATTCTGTACCATGGTCCTCGACATGCCTACCAGTGATGCTGAACTGGCTGATATCACCTGGTCCGAGGTGCTGCATCGTCTGTTGTCCTGCCAAGACCAGATGAAGCTCTGTCCTTCCAAACCCCTGCTCGACGAGTTGGACATCTACAACAGGATTCTGCGCAGAACAAACTACCTCATTGGTATGATCAACCGGGAGGCGATTCCCTACCGTTTTCGGGTCCCCAAATGTATCTTTCC